GAGGCAGGGCCTGGGAGTCTGCATATGTAATTGCTCAGGATATGCTCACACTGCTGGGCTTCCAGACTACACTTTAGTAGTACAAGTAAAACTTTCCATCTTCACCCTTTTTAAGTACATAGTTCAGTTGCAGTAAGTATGTACTTAAAAAGGGTGAAGATGGAAAGTTTTACGTGTATTTTACCACACTTAAAAATTTTAAATAGTGGAACCAGCAGATGGCAAAATGGTTACATTGCTGGACTCCCACATAGTCGACCAGGGTTCCAGACCTAGACCCAGTGGCTTAAAACTCACTCTAGGCACGTATGCATGTGTGCCCAGGAGAAGAATGGATTGCTGCATGGCCAACCCCCCCGGGGGTGATTTCTCACTTTCTATCTCTCAGGTGAACACATGCACCCTATAACAAAAATCTCTCTCAAAAAAAATTAGGGACCAGCAGATGGTGCAATGGTTAGGTCGTTGGACTCCCATGTAGTCAACCACAGTTTGAGCTCTGGACCTGGCAGCTTAAAGCTCAGGCTCAGCATGTGTGCGTGTGTGCCAAAATCCTAAGAGGAGAATGGAGGAAAAGGGGTTGAGAGAGATTTGTGCTTCCGTGAGACAGAGAGCGACAGAAAGCAAGAAATCATCCCTGGGGGGATGGCCATGTTGCAGTCCCTTTTAGAAGGTATAACTAAATTATAGTGCCACTAATGTGCTGACCTCACTACGCCAGTATTAAATGTCTTCTATTAACATTTTTGCTAATCTATAATGATTCTTCAAGATTTCCTTACTTTGCATTTTAATTTGCATTTTGATTTCTGTCAAGGTTGAAATGTAAACATTTACCTTTGTGGCTTTTTTACTATTTTTATTTACTCCTATGTGAAATGTACAGTCATGTTATTTGCTCTTATTTCTATGAGGACATTGAATATTTTCTTTAAATTTGAAAGAGCCCTTTGTATAGTCTATTAAAATATTTAAAGTAAACATTTCTGCTAATAATGATTGTCATTTTTTACCCATATTTAAGAAAGTAGTAACTGTATGATTTTAATCCTACAGGTAAACTATGGAAAAGTTTGTAATGACAGTAGAAAAGGATTGAAATTCACTGTCTCCTGTGGCTGCAGTTCAGAATTTGTTTTTGTACCATATGGTAGCACCATTGCTGTTTATACAGTTTACTCAGGAGAACAGATAACTATGCTTAAGGGACATTATAAAAGTGTTGACTGCTGCGTATTTCAGTCTAATTTCCAGGTAAGAATGGTACCTAAGGGAAATAAAAATGTTCAGACAGCTAGCTTTCCGGACAAGTTGTATATAAAAGAGAAATTGTGATTTCATTCTGAGGAAATATACCTTTAATCTCAATTTGAGCTAGGGTTATTTAATAAAGGCTACTGTACCCTTTATCTTTTAGGTATCATAGGATATAAGTTTAAATCAATAAAATGCTGCGCAACCTGATTGGGATAAATTCTTTCCTTTGTGAGTTCTGTTTATTTAGCAGCTGAAAATCTCTAGTGAATTAAAATAATTTATTGCAAACAATATTTTGGGTTTAAAGTGAAATATGTGTTTAATTTTAAAATATAATTTGCATACTTTGGTTTATGTATATTGTGCATACATCTAAAATTTTTTCCATTGGCTCATAAACATATGCTTTTGAATTAATGCAATTTAAATAATTTTTTTTAATGCTCAGGCTTTTGTTTGTTTAAGATTCGAAACTTTCTCATGAAGTCACCAGAGGAGCAGATTTTTTTTAAATGGAAATCATTCGTGCGAATCACCTCGTGCTCCTTTATTTATTTATTTATTTATTTTAGTGAACACAAAAGAATGTTTATTGAAAAGAACATTTGAAACATGACCATACCCTTTATGAAAAATATAATAGGCTCTTTATTTCCTTTAGCTATTTAATAATATACCACAAGAATAACTGGGGTAGTTTAGGATAAAACTGAGAAATTTTTCTTTTCCCATAAAGTGAAC